TTCTTACGAGATGGGATAGTACCTGAGGACAGGCAGGAGGCAATGAAGTTGAGGAGGAAAGCATCCCGGTATACACTTGTTGATGGGGTTCTCTATAAGCGATCTTTCTCCCTACCTCTTCTACGGTGCTTGAATCCCTATGAAGCAGAATATGCACTCAGGGAGGTACATGAAGGTGTCTGCGGAAGTCACGTAGGTGCCCGAACTTTGGCTCATAAAGTCCTTAGACAGGGTTATTATTGGCCAAACATGTACAAGGATGCCACTCTCTTTGTTCAGAGATGTTCGAAATGCCAGTTCTTTGCGCACCTGACTCACCAGCCTGCAGAAGAGCTCACTACTCTGGTAGCACCATGGCCATTTGCTCAGTGGGGGTTGGATCTTCTGGGACCATTCATAAAAGGGGTTGGTGGTGTAACCCACTTAATTGTTGGTGTAGATTATTTCACAAAGTGGGTTGAAGCTCGGCCGTTATCCAGTCTTACTTCTAAGAAGGTCGAAGACTTTGTTTTCAGCTCAATTATCTGTAGATATGGGATCCCGAATCAGATTGTGGCTGATAATGGAACTCAATTTAACTGCACCTCTTTTCGAGATTTCTGTTTCAGCTACGGAATTAAACTGCAGTTCACCTCGGTTTACCATCCAGAGTCCAATGGCATGGTCGAATCTGTTAACAAGTGCATCTTAGAAGGTATAAAGCCGAGGCTGGAACAACACAAGGCCAAATGGGCAGACGAGCTCAACAACGTCCTCTGGGCGTACAGAACTACGAGTCGAACTGCCACAGGTATTACTCTACACCGGGCCTATTCGGTTAAATTTTATATTGCTTTACTTCTTCTGCTACAGTTTTACCTTAGAACAACTACGCATAACGTGTAAAGCGCATTCTAAAGTTATAATCCATTAAAATAGGTGAAACACCATATCATCTGGCCTTTGGTACCGAAGCAGTCATTCCTATCGAGATAGGAGTTCCAAGCTTCAGAGTCACCCATTTCGATGAAGGACGGAATGGACAACTGCTTCGGGGGAACCTTGATATGCTTGATGACCTCAGAGAAGAAGCACGACTTCGAACTCTAGTCTACAAGCAGAAAATAGCAAACTTCTACAATAAACGAGTTCGACCTCGATCATTCAAAGTAGGAGACCTTGTTCTCAGGAAAGCTGGTCTAACGGGGTTCGAAACTAGATTCGGCAAATTAGCACCAAACTGGGAAGGCCCCTACACTGTCGCCGAAGTGCCGCACCCAGGAGCTTATATCCTACGGGACACTGACGGAAAAAGGGTTCCTAGAGTCTGGAATGTCAATAATTTGAAAAAATTTTATCCTTAATGCATCTTTTTCCAGAAAACTTTGTTATTCCTTTATATTGTTAATGAACTTCACTTCACATTCGAAGTGATTCAGTCCTATCATTATGACTTATTCAGTCACTTCATTTGTTGGGTTATGATTTTATCACACTTACAGTGATTTACTCATTTCTGTATTTGAAGTCCGCCTATTCTATATCCAAGGTCAGAGATCAGAACATTGTGTTAAATAAAGTTACTCTATTTTATCCGAAGTCATTCACTTACAATAAACTAGCAAGTCGAACCCAAAACTGAAGATCGAGAGTAAAACTTTAAAAATTTTATAAAATCTCCACAAATGTTATTTACAAATACCACTAACAAAATAAAAACCTAAGCTACTCTGTTGGAGGAGGAGGTTGTTCCTCAATAGGAAGAGGCGGTAGAAGTGGCTCGTCTCCAGCAGGCAGGACTGGCACTTCTGCTTCAGGGGGGGGCAGCAGCTGCACCTCATCAGAGGAGATTGGCTGCACTTCTGGAGGCTGCACTTCGGCCATTGCCGCCTCAACTCCAGCATCTTGCACTTCTTCTTCTGCTTCTCCTCCCTCCACAGCCACCAACTCAGCATCAAAGGTTGGAGGAAAAATGGTGCGCCCCTCTGCATCACGCTCCCACCTCAAAGTAATCTGAGGGCGGAAGTCCGCACAGAGACTTTCGCCATCTTCCTCCACTCCTTCCTCTTGTTCCCCAAAGGTGACCGTTGTCACGTCCACCTCTGGGTACTGAGCCTTCACCTTCTTTCTGCAGTCCGTGAAGGCCAGGATGGCGGTTGGCAGCCGGTACAGCTTGAGGATGTCCTCGAAGGTGCTGGAGTTGAGGAAGTTGCCAATATGTCCCTCCATTCCGTTGTGCACCAACAGCTCCACGTTCTTCTTCAGCTCCACTGCCCCTTTCTTCAGGCTCTCAATATATTTGTCTTGAGCCTCGACCTTCTCTTCGCAAATTTTCCTTTTACGTTCCTCAAGAGAGAGTTTCGTGCTCAAGACACTGTTATCACTTTGGAGCTCGGCCACTGTTGGTGTCACCTCATCCAGCCTCCCCTGAATCTGTTGGTTTTTCTTCTGCAACTCCCCCTTTTCCTTCTGGAGCTCCTCCTTCTCCTTTCGCAGGGCATCGCATTGCCTCTGCAAGCTGGCACGATCTCTAACGCTCTCTGTATATTCCTGCGCTAGAGCGTTTGTCCAGCTCGCACTCTACAATGCAATCAGAAGTCAGACATCAGACATAGAGGACAAAAAACTCAAACATGCAACCAAAGTAAAATCTAGATTTCGCATACCTCTAGAGCATGCCTCACCACGGTATACCCCGCATGGCTAAGCACCTCGTTCTTCGCTTGCATCCTATCCACGTCAGGAAGCGTAGCGTTGAGAAAGTGCTTCGCCCCAGTCATGTTTGTCGCCTCAAACAAACCTTTCTGGTACGCGCGGGGTGGGGTGCGCTCCCTGCCCCCACTAAGGCCTCGCACCTTGGCCTCGCACCTTGGCCTCTCCCCTCTCCTGGATCTCAGGATTGATTTCTAGAGGAGAAGGTCGAGGCACGAACTCCACCACCTTATCCACCCTGCCTTCTAGCTCTGCCACCCTCCTCTTCTTCCTCTAGAGCGGTGCCGTCTCCTCGCTTACATCCTCGCTGCCCCCCATCACAGGCTCCGGCCTTGGCTGCACCTCCATGGCCCGAGCTGAAGTGCTGGGCAGGCGCTCTCTCTCGGGCACCCCTCTGTTCGCCGCAGCTGAAGTCGTTGACTTCTTCCTTGGCTTCTTGGGGATGCGTAGCCCCCCAGCAGCATGGGTAAACTCCTCCATCTCAGCTGCAACACAAGCGCAAAAGTCAAAACGCATAAACTAAGATCTAACTAACATAGCACAATGTAAACATACACAGACCTTCGCTCAATGAGCTTGGCCCATAAAGCTCAGCAGCATCTATCGCCTCCTGGCTGGTGAGGTACAAGCAGCATCTATCGCCTCCTGGCTGGTGAGGTACAAGATATCCACTACGTCCCCATCTTCCCTCACCAGCTTCTTCACCTCCTCCACCTCATCCTCATTCAACTTATAGTTGTTCTGCTTGGTTTTCTTCGCTTTCCAAGCAGACAACTGTTCTACTTCGGCATCCCTCCTACTCCACTCGGTGTCATCCACAAAGAAGAAATTTTCTTTCCACCCTTTGATGGATGACGGCCCAAGAGAGAATAAATTCCTATTCCCTTTGCTGGACGACCGAGGACCGAAGTGGTACCACCCCTTCTCCCCGCTACCCCCAGCCTTAATTATAAAAAAATGTTTGAACATATTTACTGTTGGAAACCCAACCCCCCGAACTCTGCAGTATACAAGAAAACCTATTACTAACCTCATGGCATTGGGAGTTAGCTGGGTTATTCCTATACTATAATCTAATAATAACCCAACCAGTAATTCTGGAATGGGAAACCTAAGCCCTGCAATCAAATAGTGCAGGTATATGGGCATCCAATGATCTCGGG